CTTAGGATTCTTAGACCTACCCTTAGATCTACCCCTAACAAACATAGCCTCACCGGAGTCCCTGGACTGACTAGCACTACCCCTAGCATGCTTCAGGTCTAATTCCTTACTCCTTAACCCATTCACAACAATGTCTAACGAAATCTCATCCCTACCATACTTAATAGCGGACTTAACATCATTATAAGAGTCGGGAATGGCATTAAGTAATACTATGGGAGTATAATCATCTATGTGTTTATCACCTGCCTGTTTGATATTCTGTATCAGTTTATTAAACACATCCAGGTTCTCATCTATATCCTTAGTCAGGTCAAGCCTAAACCTAAAGAATTTCTCTAGTAAGAACAACTTCCCGGGCAAAGAGGTATCAGTATAGAGACTATCCAATTTCTCCCACAACTCCTTAGCGGACTCAAGAATACCCACTTTCCTAAGCACAGAATCAGACAGATTCAAGTAAATAGTAGAACAAGCAGTTTCGTTCATTTCAGTTTGCTTAGCCTTATCTTCTTATTCAAGGAAAATACCAGTGACAGCTCTGAAAACTTTTTGCTGTATTAAAACACACTTAATCTTCTGTTTCCAAATATCAAAATCTGTTTTTCCATTAAATGGAAGCATACCATACTGATTCGCAGCCATGGTATCAACCACAAAAGGAAAACAAAGCTAAACAGACAGAATTGACAGAAAATAATCCAACCCGGGTTATAAAGTATTCACTTTAATAACCCCGGGCAGCATGCAACACATAGCAAAAATGGACATTTGGCAATTAAACAATTCTGGGCAGAAAATTAAAATTAATTAATTCTACCCCTACCACCCAATAAACCACCCCCTACGCATAACAATTAAATTAAATAACACAAAGCAATTTAATTAATCAACTAAAACAATCAACCACAAAGGAGAGGGTTTAGAACGTACCTGGGGGGTTGGCGGCCGGGATTAAATCAACCGGCGGCCCGCGGGGAGGGGGAATAAATTAAATTAAATTAAAACCGGAATATTACAAATAGGAAGTTTAAAGAAAACTTACCTTCGTGAAACCCTAGGAGAGCGTTTCGACCTTACCTACCCAAATTTTTTTTAAAAAAAATTTGGGATTTTTCTGAGAAGTTGACTGTGTTGACCGGCGTTGACTGCCGTTGACCGGCGTTGACCGGTTCCAGCTCCAGGTCCACAGCTCAGCAGCAGCTCTAGCAGTCCAACAGCAACCCAGAGGCCCAGCAACAGCTCCAGCAGTCCAGGCCCAAGCTTAGCAACAGTAGCTCAGCTCCAGTAACTCCCCAGGTCCAGCGGCCCAGCAATTCACCAATCCAGCAATCCAAAGCCCAAAAGCAGTCCTCTCCAGCGGTTCAAAAAATTAGCGGACCAATTTTAACGAAGAAACATTCTTCGTGTTCCAGGCTCCATACGCGGACCCTGCGACGGAAGAGGACCGGCGACTTGCCAGCTCTCTGGCCAGCGCCCTTCTCCGGCGAAGAACACAGAACTCCGGCGGTGACTCCTCTGCGACGATACCAGCGTCCAATCTCGACAGTTACCCGCAACAGGGGACCTCCTGCGAACTGGCTCTGGCCTTCTGCCTCGAACAGTGAGTTTCTTGGCTATGGTGGTTTGAACTTCCGGCGACAAGCTTCCAAGTGGACGAACCTGGTCTGTAACCTCCAGAATCGAAGATAGACAGAGAATGACGAACGACCAGGCCTTAGGGAACTCTAGCGAGCTCCAATCGGCGGCGGCGGCGGCGGGCGGCGGCGGCGGTCGGCGGCAGACGGCGGGACCTGGCTCTGATACCACTGTTAGGACCGTTTCCGTCTCCGGCTCAGGTCTCCAACCTTCTAAACTAAACTCACACACACCACTCTAGGGCTTAGGCCACTCCATCTCCCATGTTTACTCACTCTTCTTCACTCCACTAAGGAACTCTCACACAAAGGGAAAGGAAGAAGGAAGACATTGCACTGGGATGTTCTCTCGCACGCTTATCTCACAAAGAGGAGGAGTGTTGACTTTATAATAGGCTGCCTGCCTATTGAGAAGTCACGGGTAGGAAAAACAAGGACACTCACGGGTGTGAAGGACATTCACGGGTATAAGCCAAGACAATCAAAGGGAGCAGCGGACAGAAGATGGGGCAGATTCCAGGTAAGTCAACAGGCCACCAATGAGTGATTTCAACTCAGGGAATCAAAGTGGGAGTAAACATGGGGTGCAAGCCTAAATAATAAAGTGGAAGGGAGGCCTTGGTAGGACCAATACCTCCAACACTCTTCAATTCATCTCCATCTCTACATATGTGGAACCTCATCAGCCTTGACTTGCCACAGAATCTCAATTGTGGGCCAATCTCGATGTGAGTCTACCCTCGACAACTGATTCATCCTATTCCTTCCTCTCCGACGTGACGTCACGAACTGATTCGTCATTGCCATTGTGTGACAGGCTGAAGAAAAGGAAGACAAAAGAGAGAGGGGTGGGGTGGGGTGAAGGGAAAGAGAAGGGGGTGGAGAGGGCTGAAGAAGAAGAAAGTGGAAAAACATTACATGTACGCCACCTAGACCACCACGTCACTAAAGTCGTCGGCTAATCGAGAATCAACTGGTTAGATTAGGAAATTGAACGTTTTGGTATAGTTCATAAACTTAAGCGACGGCGAATACGAAGCCTTAGTCAAATCCTTTCTCGATCGCTCCCTCTCGATTAGGCATTATGGATCTGCCATTAACACGAAAATTTGGGATCAAACTTCCTTAAAATAAGGTCATATCAAGCAAGACGCTCTTGACTTCATTGACGACTTTTGAACAGGCCTAAACGAGATATTGATTCGGAGATTGAAAGCTTTTTAGGTCTTGATTGATCCCATTCTTTTATTACCGAGAAGTCAGTCTTCAATAGTCCCTGACTTATAAATCTTCTATTAGCTGCCAACGACCTACTCTATGGATCACCCCTTCAGACTATAACAACTTCGGATTGGTGCAACTGTCAATCCATTAGAGCATCTGCTATGGGTGGTCATTTGGGGATCAAAAAAAAAATCCCACTTAATCCCCACTATGGGAGGTCACTAGGTTGATCGATCAACATGGAAGCTCACATATGGGTTCTGACAAAAAATTGGAGGAGTCATATGATTAACCAATTAAAAAATGCCATGTGACTTTTTAATTTAGATGAAGCCACCAACCTTATCAAACATCCCCACATTCTCTAATTTCATTTATTATTGATTAAATTTAATTTATTGTAAAAAAAGATTACACCAAAAAATTAGATATTTTTTTCTCTATAAATATAGACCAATGAATGATATGTTTAGTCACTTCAAAATTTACCATTCCTTTCCCTCTTTCATTTTATTTTATCTGTTTTAGAATATTTTTTCTTTGAAAATAGACCCAACTCCTTCTCTAACTAGATACAATCTCAACAATAAATTATAGTGAGTAAAATGTGAATTTTATATTCCTTTATCAAATTATATAAATTAATAATGGTAGAATATACCAAAAATATGGAGAGAGAATGCACAAATTTTAAGTGACCTAGGTCACCATAGTGGGGTGAAAGTATGATAGGTTAGAAGGGATTAAGTTTTTTGTGGAAAATGATGTGGAAGAGAGAGGAGGGGATCAATACTCATTGGCATTGTGGATGCTCTTAGTCCCTCAGAACTGAAACCTCTGGAGCCTACAGCTAAAGCTAAGCTAACGGGTTATCCTATTAACCTAATCGGCAAGGGAAGTCGTGGGAAATGCTACTTCCCAAAGAGAGACTTGAATCCTTGCGTGATATGAATAAGAATAAGGAAGAATAGACTTAATAGGATGTTTTAAAACTTTTATTAGTTCGAGAACTTAATTGACTTTTTTGATATATTCCGAGAGTCGATTTGACAACCTTATTGTCTTATTCTTCTAGGTACTTATCAGTTTTCATCTACCTTGAGTTGTGATTTGCTTTTTTGAATAACTGCGAATAATGAAAACTTATACGAAGTATACGATAGTATTTGAGAAGTGAGAACTAACCCAAAAGTTTTATACGATAGTATAAACTTCATAACTTCAAATGTGGTATAAATTTGATAGTTAAGAACTGAATAAAAATAATTGGTTTGCCACTTAAGGATGAAGAGACTATCCATATGCATATGTACTATACATACTAAATAATTTGGATGTGTATACATACTCAATAATTAGGAACATTAGTGGAAACTGGAAACAAATGTGTTTGAAGCTCAGCCCATTGAGAGAAGCATGATATTCATCCAGGAGTAGGTTGTGCAAAATCAATGAGAGGGGGTGCGCCAGGGAATCATGAGATGCAGAGTATGACTAGTTTTAATCAGATAAAATTAAACGTAACACCACTAGAATGGAAAATTTGAAAAAAGAAAACAGGAGAAAATGGGAGAAAATAATTGTAATAGAGAAATTCGCAAAAAAAAAACTAATGTTTATTTTTATGGTAAATTAATCCTCAACCTAATATTCTAAACCATACGATCATGAAAAAAACTTTGTGTACACCATTTGCACGCATTGTTTGTCTTGTATATAGAGTTGTGTATATAAAGTTGTCTGCGTTGACTGTGTGCAGTCATAGACCAAACATTCCGAAAAGAAAAATTATGCATTTCTACGTCTTCAAGGAGAGGCAGACATGCAAAACTCCTTTTTGAAAAATGATTGCACACGCGTGAGCAAGGCAGCTACAAAGTCAATGGCATAGCTAACGTCTACACAAATGGCAATAGCCACTAGTAGTCCTAGCACATCCAATGCCGAACAATTCAAGTTAGAAAGAAAAATACGTAGTAGCTATTTGAGTATATCGGTGAAAGAAAATTTAGTAGAAATTGATATCAAGAATTGCATTGAAAGCAGAAGAATGGGGACAACAGAAGGGATGAACCCTCTCCAGTCTCCATTCATGGCACTTAACAAACCAGTGATGCTATACTATAATTCATCATAAGCCACTGATGACAATTGTTATCAGACAAGTAAGAAGAATGCTCAGAGTTCCAACAGAACCACATCCTTAGAGCATCACAATATAATGCAGCTGTACAAAGATACTCCTTTGGCCAAAAAAATATTACTGTGATAAACATGGATAAATTCAATCCACAAAATGTCATGTCATTTTTGCAGGACGAAGCCATTATTACACAAAATGAAGTAAACGGTGGTTTGGCAGATAGATAAGAAAACCTAAATGAAGTAATACACCACTACTCAGTGGGCAAAGCACAAAATGAAGTTCCTCATAACAAAACTGACAAAAAAAACACAAAATACCATGATTTAGTACTTGTAGTCCTTCACGTGAAGGCTCTCTGAAGCTGCCTCGCTGAGGTTCGCAGTACCTTTGTATGTCCCAAGTGTTGCCTCAGAATTTGCTTTGCACCTTGCGAGGAGATTAGATTGTGCCTTCTGAACATTTTCCTCTTTTCCTGCCCAGATCTTGAGAGTGCTAGCCTGGAGTGCACGACCAAACGAGAATGAAAGGGTCCATGGCTTCTTAGTGTTGAGCTTGTTCATTGCATTAAGGTTAACGGTGGCCTCCTCCTCACTCTGCCCACCGGACAAAAACACAACGGCAGGTACAGCAGCTGGCATGGTGCGCTGCAAGGCAAGAACGGTGTGCTCAGCAATCACCTCTGGTGCAACCTTAGCAGAGTCAGAGCCAGGTGTAACCATGTTTGGCTTCAACAAGGTACCCTCAAGGAGAACATGATTGTCATTGAGGGCTTTGTAGCAAGCCGCAAGAACACGCTCTGTAACATCAGCACATTTTTTTATGTCATGGCTTCCATCAACAAGGATCTCAGGCTCGACAATAGGCACAAGACCGTTCTGTTGGCAGATAATAGCATAACGAGCAAGGCCATTGGCGTTCTCGGTGATGGCAAGCTGGGATGGCTCATTTGGGCCAATCTTCAGCACGGCACGCCATTTTGCAAACCTGGCACCAGCCTCATAGTACTTCTGGCAACGCTCAGCTAGTCCATCAAGACCCTGAGTGGTTGTCTCACCATTGGTCCCAGGGAGTTCAACCACACCCTTGTCAACCTTAATCCCGGGAAGGACTCCCCCTTCCTTCAGAACTTCCACAAAGGGCTTTCCTGCAAATTGATATAAATAATGAGGATAACTGGTGAAATTTTGAGATGCAACCAACAAAAAAACAGTCCAAGAACCAGAACGTACCAGAAGCAGTCTTCTGGTAAAGAGTTTCCTCAAACAGGATAACTCCACTGAGGTATTGCAGAGCACCAGGAGCTGTGAAGAGCAGCTCACGTAGGGCTCTCCGGTTTGATTCAACATTTTCAACGTTGATACTAGAAAAACGCTTGCCTATTGTGCCAGTTGACTCATCAGCAGCAAGAATTCCCTTTCCAGGGGTACCAATGTATGCAGCATTGGCTATAAGCTCATCTGCAGATAATTAAGGATCCACAAAATAATTAAAAAAACCAACTGATGAAAAAATTTGTTCATCCCAGTTAAGTCTAAAAACAATAGCTGGAACCTATGTTATGCGGCAACACAGAAAAGTATGGGGGCTTACACCCTAAAATAGAAAAGCCGTATTTCAATTGAAACACAATTATCAGGAGAGTTCCAGTAAAGTTCTCTTAAGGCTTTAAGGCAATCATACTCCTTAGCTAGAGTTCCCGAGCATCAAACTTCAAACCAACACACAAGTGAATATCAATAAAATTGTATAGATCTTTATGCAACTAACACTAGATTATGGTTGATATTTACAGATCAAGCAATTGCAACTTCGATCAAATATAGCAAAACAATATCTCGCATCTCAATAAATCGAAACACAACTTGGCAGATTTATTATAGATCTTCAATTATATGAAAAAAAAAATTATGCAGATGTAATGAGCCAATCAGATCCTAAGCAAGAATCTTACAAAAATTAAATTTAGACCAATACCAATCCCCTGAATCCGGAAGAATGCTTTAAAACAATATCTACAACACTTAAAGGAAACAACAGCGAGTTTACCAACCGTAAATTCAGATCAGAAGCAGGAAATCAACATCGTTACAAATCAGACGAATGAAAAGCATATATATTTACCAAGATCTACAAGGAATTGAAAGATGATCAAAACAAATAACAGAATTGAGATTTCACATGGCGCGTATGTTGAGACAAAACAAACAAGGATCAAAAGTTACCGGCGTATTTTCCTCTGTAGCACGACATGGTTGATTGTTTTAATGGAGAAGCGAAGAATGGAGATGGAATGAGCAGAGGGGAGAGGTTAAAAGTTGGTAACGTGAAGCGTCAAATGAACGGGTAGGGCTTTTATACACAGAGATTCCAGTCCATCGATTTTATCGGAAACTTTCGGCCCATTACGGGTTGCCGGTAATTGAGGCGATTGAGGCGAAGGGGCGGGTTCTAAGGCTATTTAGTGTTTACCCATATAAAAGTTTTCTGCTTTTTATGTAAACGGAATTAAGGGGGTGTTTGGATCTGATTCTAAAAAGTGATTCTGCTCCTTCAGGGAGCAGAAGCAGAAGCTGGAGTGTTTGGGTGAAATTCCAGAAGCACTTCTGGAGCTCTAATTTACTCTCAGAATCAGTTTTTTTAGAAGCTGGGGGGGTACCAGCTTCTGAAAACTGATTCTGATTCTGCTTCTGCTTTTAAAAAAGAAGCAGAAGCAGAATCAGTTCCAAACACCCCCTAAATATAGAAAATACAAATAAGAAACATTAAGAGGTCGTTTGGTAACACTGTTTTTCGGCTTATCAGGCTTATCAGCAAACTTTTTAATCGAACACGTAACTTTTGTTTTCGCGCGCTGAATTGTGTAATTAGCAGAAAAAGTAAGATTGGAGTTACTTGTCTGGCTGTATTGGCTGAAGTTATTGTAGATGATCATTTTAGCTATTTTTACATATAATTTTTTCTTTATTTTATTAATAAAATATATTTTAAAAATAATTTTTTCTTAAATCAGTAGAATCAGTCAATGCAGCCACTTGAGCTAGAACTTTATAAATTTCAGCAGAATCAGCCAAATCAGACAATTTCCGTGCTAAACAAATAAAAAGGATATTTCAAGACAAAATCTTGAAGTTTTACCCCTAATTTTTATCCACTTTTTGCTTGATTTGACATAAAGTAAAGGTAAACTTGAGAAATCAAAACAAAACTCTACCTTACATAAATATGTGTATAGACTTGAGAAGTCAAATATGTGTATATCCCAAAAAGAAGTTCTCATTTCCATAAAGATATCCTTGCAAACTGAGAACTTGATTGCGAGACGGAGGGAGTATCTTTTTTGTGTTCCCAAATGTAAAATAAGTATCACACTAAAAATATCAGCGAAGTGGACTAACTATGATGATAATGAATTCCATGAATACATATATCTTACAATGTGCATGTGCACATGTGGCATGAGAGACATGGACTCACAAATTATAAGCAAAATATTTCTCCTGTTTTGAACAATCTTATATGTTTTGATAACTTTTACTTCACAAAGAAGAATGTATAAGTGTAGATATTGTAGTTGACATTCTTACCAAAATTAGGGAAAATGAAAACTAATAATCCAACATTTTAGCGGTCTTCTTACAATAGTCCCACCTTTTCGTTATTCATGAATGATCCAACCTTTGCACCTCATTTTCATTCACTGGTCCCTATCGGTTGATGACCTGCTATTCCAAATTATTTTCTTATCCTTGCAAAATAGTATCTTCGTGAAAGGTGAGATTTATGGTATAATGGTTTGCATAGATAAGAAAATAACTTGGAATAGCAGGTCATTAACCGGTTAGGGACCAGCGTATGAAGATGGAGTGCAAAGGTTGGATTATTCTTGAATAACGAAAAGGTTGGACTATTGTAAGAAGACTGCTAAAATGTTGGAATATTAGTTTTCATTTTCTCCCAGAATTATATAAAATCGTGAAAGAAGAAGAGAGAAATGTATATAATTTATTTGTAAATGTTTATCTCTCTCATATCACATGTGCACCATGCATATTGTTGCAAATGGAGATGTTCTTATAAGTTGTAACTCAACTAACTCTTATCACAATCATTAGCACTACCACTACTAACTTTATCAAGATCTAGTCTTGATCACTGTGATTAAGTGACCACTATTTTTTCGTCCAGCAAACACTTCAATATGGTACATGTTGAAAATATGAACTCATCTCATTAGAGTTATTTGAAATTGATTTGGCATTCCTACTTCATCTTCCAATAAGTAAAATCATAACCTGAACAAAATGATCAATTGGTTCATATTGTATAGTTTGATATACATTGTGTTGTATAAACTAGAGAATCAATTTAAGCTATGTTTGCTATTGCTTTTAATAAGCACTTTTCAGCTTTTTTATCACAAAAGCTAAAAAAAAGTGTTTGCAAACCCAAAATTCTGATTATTAAAAGCACTTTTAAGCTGAAAGTTCAAAGCAGGTTGGAGGATGCTTCTAACAGCTTTTTGGTATTTTAGTACATAAAACAAACTTCAGGGATAATTATTAGGTTGAAAATTTCAATTAAATCCAAACTACCCTTCCACTCATTCGTTCCCTGTAACTCTGTCAGCTTCTCCTCCCCAAACCTCACCTCACAATTTCTTCAATTCCGACCACTCTTCTTTCCAAACCCTTCCCTCTCAGCAGTCCCTCATTACTTCTCCTCATGCTTGGAATTACTGGATATTTCAATATTGTTGTTGGCCTTTCATAAGTCTCTGCCCCATCTTCATTCTTCCTCGCATGCTACTCTGGTTTCTTCTGGGGAAGTTGAATCTAATGTAGGCAAATGGGTCAAGCTTTGTGGGTATATCAGCTTCTACAGGGAATCGCCGACTTGCGCACAGAGGATGATGCTTCTCGAGGAAAGAACGAAAAGAACCCATGGGCCTCCAAATTTGTTTATGCAAGGATAAATTTGTACTTTGATAAAATATTCCATCAAAAATCACTTTTTTATCAAAGATTTCAACTTCTACCTTCTAATTAAAATCACTTCTATTCCCAAACCCTACCAACTTTTACTACAAATCACTTTTCCAATAATCTCTTAAAAAATCACTTTTAAAAAACACAAGCAATCGCAAACACTCCCTTAGAGTGTTTCGATATTTTACTCATGAAAATTGGCTTTGTATAAATACTTGAATGACATCATATATTAATTATGTATTAAAAAGTTAAATAAGTGTTAAACTAGAAATTTGTCGTGAAATATCATCATGTATCAAAACTAGACCCTCGATCAACTATAGCGGGGAACAAACATCTACCGGGATGTTTTTACTTAGACTGAAATTTTCTGATCTGGTGTGGTTTGGTCTGTGTAAGTCTGATCTGGTCTGGTCTGATAGGCGTTTGGTCTCTATGTATTGTATAACTATGGAAGTCTGGTCTGAACTGGTTTGGTCTGGTTTGATCTGGGACTGAAAATAGTCCAAGTGAAAACATCCTACAACTCCATAACATCTAGGGTGTGGCGGAATTGCGGAAATTCTCAAAGAGTGGGCCAAAGTAAAACAATATTAAAAAACGTTTTGAATTCCATTGATGAAGAAATAATACATGCATACATAGTTGGAGTGTTTGGAAGTTGGGGGGGACCAACTTCTGAAAACTGATTCTAATTCTGATTCTGCTTTAAGAAAGAAGCAGAAGCAGAATTAGTTCCAAACACCCCATAATAATACTAAAATCTGTTAATATGATCTAGGTTGGGATTAAAGACTGCCGCGAGGGGATGAACTTTCTAGGAGATTCTGTTGGTGCTATGGAATAGCTCTCCATAACATTAGTTGGTTCCAAGAAAGTTGAACATTATTTGGTTCCAAGAAAGTTGAACTTAGTTGTCTCAACGTAATTGGGAAAATGTTACAATCCAGGAATTCCCATAGAAACGGAGAAGAGAATTGGAGAATTGAACTCACACAAGAACTCAGAATTTAGAAGACAGAGATGAAATGGATGCGGAAGTATTTTTTTATTCAAATGCCTGATTTACAATCTTAATTCAATGGCTATATATGCTGTAGCTAATTAACAACTTGTTCAACTAACTAAATAGATTTATAATATTGGGCTAACCAACTCTTTAACCGAATACAACTGTATCAGAAAACACAAACGATTGAATATTAGTTGGTTCCAAGAAAGTTGAACTTAGTTGTCTCAACGTAATTGGGAAAACACAAACGATTTTAGAAAAGGTGAAATCGAGAGTCAAATCTTAACTTGAGTCGGTTTTGATCATTTTCAATTCGGTTATTCTGGGTCTGTTTGTATCAGTTTCAGTCAGTTTTAGCACGTTTTGAACAGTTGGTTTCAGTTTGGTCGATTCTTAACCCAAAAGTATAAATCGTAGATCAAACCGTTAATGATTTAGTCGGTTTTAATTGGTCTCAGTTTCATTCAGTTCGGTTTCGATAGATTTGTCGATCAGTTTCAATTTTTTGGATTTTTTGTTCACCCTTAGTTTTTCATTACAGCCCCTTTTATTCTAAGATATTACTAGTCAATTCACATATGCGTTTACTTTGAAAACACAATTACTTGAGACATTTTGACCCTAATTTTTGAAAAAATAAAAAACGAAAATTAATAAATTTTATTAAAAATTATATAAAATTGACAAATAATATAATACTATTATATAAATTCATAAATGTTAAAGAAACACAGATTAATAATTTGCAAGCCCTAAACAAAAAAATAAAAAAACAGAAAAATGAAAAAAAGTTAATATGCAAAAAATATTAAATAAAAAAACTAAAAATTAGTGTGTGTGCGTGTGCGGGTGTGTGTGTGTGTGTGCGGGCGCGTGTGCGCGTGTACGGGTGCGTGCACGGGCACGTGTGCGTGTGTGCGCGCGCGCGCATGGGAGTGTGTTTGTGTGTGTGTGCGCGTGTGCGGACGTGTGCGCGTGTGCGTGTGTGTGCCCACTTTTAAAAACTACTTTTAAAAGTAAAAGCAATAATAAATATTATTGAGCCCTTTGACGATCTTTGTTTTTACACATAACTATTTACTTAACATGAAATGTTTCATTCTGTACACTGAGTTAAGTAATACTCATAATACATCATATTGAAGTTACTTTTCTAATGAGTCTCCTTTTCTGATTGAATTGAGTAAATTTACTGAAAAGAGTTATTTAGATATTCTCATGTATTTTTCTTTAATTTATTATAAAATAAATAAGTCACACTAGAGTAAGTCAATTCCGCCATTTCAATCAAAATATCACTAATTTTCAATCGAGTTAAGCGGTTCAACTTGTCTTAGGTAATGTTTGCAAGCACTTTTGTTTGTAACGTGTTTGCAAACATTTAAAGAAAACGTTTTTCACCTTTTGACTTTAAAAAGCTCAACTGAGTGTTGCAGC